AACATTGATGAAACAGATTGAAGAGGACACATATAAAGGTAAGTGTATCCCATGTTCATGGATTGGAATAATTAATTCTGTCACAATAATCTACAGATTCAATATGATCTATGGATTCAATGCAATTTCTATCAAAATATCAATGACATTCGTCACAGGAATAAAAAATACCTAAAATTCATATAGAACCACAAAAGACCCCCAAACAGCCAAAGCAACCTTAAGCAAAAAATTTTTAAAAAACAAAGGTAGAGGCATCACATTACCCTACTTCAAAATACACTACAAAGCTCTATTAATGAAAAGAGCATCATATTGACATAAAAATAGACACACAGACCAATATAACAGAATACAAAGCCCAGACATAAATCCACGCATCTACAGCCAACTGCTTTTCAACAAAGGTGCCAAAAATACACACTGGGGAAAAGACAGTTTCTTCAATAAATAGGACTGGAAAAATTGGATATCCACATGCAGAAGAATAAAACTAGATCCTTATTTTCAACATACACAAAATTCAACTCAAAGTGGACTAAAAACTTAAATGTAAATACTGAAACTATGAAACTGCTATAAGAAAACACAGGAAAAATGCTTCATGACACTGGGCAATAATTTTTTGAATAAGACCTTAAAAGCACAGGCAACAAAATAAAAAAAATTAGACAAATGACATTATATCAAACTAAAAACTTTCTGCACAGCAAAGAAAACAATCAACAGAGTAAAGAGAAAACCTACAGAATGAGAGAAAATATTTGCAAACCATGCATCTGACAAGGGGTTAATATACAGAATATATAAGAAACTCAAACAACTCAATAGCCAAAAAATAATAATAATTATTATATTTTAAAATCAGCAAAAGATCAACAGGTATATGAAAAAAGTGCTCAACATAACTGACTACCAGGGAAAAGCAAATCAAAACCACAATGAGATACCCCCTCATTCCAGTCAGAATGGCAATTATTAAAAAGACAAAAGATAAGTGTTGATAAGGATGTGGAGAAAAGAGAACCTTTACACTTTTGGTGGGAACATAAATTAGTACAGCCATTATGGAAAACAATATGGAGATTCCTCAAAAATTCAAAATAGAACTACCATAACCAGCAATCCTACTACTTGGTATATATCCAAAGGAAACGAAATCAATATGTCAAAGAGATATCTAAATTCCCATGCTCACTGTAGCACTATTCACAATAGCCAAGATATGGACTCAACCTAAGTGTCCATCAACAGAAGAATGGATAAAGCAAATGTGGTATATGTATACAATGGAATACTATTCAGCCACAAAAAAGAACAAAATTCTTTCATTTGCAACAACATGGAAGAAACTGGGGGACATCATGTTAAGTGAAATAACCTAGACACAGGAAGACACATACTGCATGTTCTTACTCATATGCAGAATCAAAAAGCTGATCCTAGCTCTAGATCCTTGAGGAATCGCCACCCTGTCTTCCACAATGGTTGAACTAGTTTACAGTCCCATGCCACATGTATAGATATGTAACAAACCTGCACGTTGTACACATGTATCCTAGAACTTAAAGTATAATAAAAAATAAATAAATAAATACATTTTTTTAAAAAGTTGATCCTAAGAAACAGTGAATAGAATAGTGGTTACTACAGAGTGAGGAGAGTAGTGGGAGGGGAAAAATTAGGAAGAGACGGTCAATGGGTACAAAGTTGCAATTAGAAACGAGGAAGAGGTAGGCGCAGTGGCTCACGCCTGTAATCCCAGGACTTCGGGAGGCTGAGGCGGGTGGATCACAAGGTCAGGAGATCAAGACCATCCTGGCCAACATGGTGAAACCCCGTTTCTACTAAAAATACAAAAATTAGCTTTTTTTTTTAGGGCAGGCACCTGAAATCCCAGCTACTCAGGTGGCTGAGGAAGAAGAATCGCTTGAATCCTGGATGCAGAGGTTGCAGTGAGCCAAGATCACGCCACTGCACTCCAGCCAGGCAACAAAGTGAGATTCCGTTACACACACACACACACACACACACACACACACGAAGAAATGAAGAAATGAAGAAATGGTATCCTATTGCACAGTTGGGTGACTAGAGTCAGCAAAGAGGTATTGAATGTCTCTAAATAGTTAGAAAAGGAGATTTTTCAATGTTCCTACCATAAAGAAATGATACATGTTTAAGGTGTTGGATATGCTAATTACTCTGATTTGATCATCACACAATGTATACATGTATTTAAAAATCACATCGTTCCCCATAAATATGTATAATTATGTATATTTATAATATATACCATATATAATACATATAGTTATGTTATATAATAATTATGTATCCATTAAAAGTAAAAAGTAAATAGTGTCCAATTCCAGAAAAAACAATGAATGCTACCTGAAGTGAGACTTAAACAAGGATGACTCAGTAAGGAAGAATTATCAGTTTCAGGGTTGAAAGAAATTCCCAGTGTCAATAAAGCCAGAAGGAGCTTTATTCTGCAGAGAAAGCCACTGAAGACCACAGAAATCGCTACAGATTACAGAAAGAAATCAAGTGTAACAGAGACTTTTCCTTCCCCTAAGGATTATGCCTTCTGCATTGTAAAACCACCCCTCCAAAATAAAGATGGAACACATTCTACAACAGATCTTTTACTACCTCCCAAATCTGCAGGTTGGGAGATCCCCAAAAAAACTTATTTAAAAAAAGAAATTAACTATCATGGAAGAAATCTCTTTAAAACATGAATATAGTTATAAATTTCCTTTAAAGAGAACATAATATAATACATTTTTTAAAAAGATTTACAATCACAATAAAATTTGTTATATGCTGTAATATAGCCATTGTTAACACTCACAGAAGAATAACGCACACTCCTTTCTACATTACATAGTCCTAAACAGTTTTGTCTCTCATATTTTATGTTATCTATTTCTTGCTTTGTTATTGACTTAAACTTCAGGCTATTATTAATACCCTGGTCTGGGCCAACCTTTCTTTTTCAGTTCTAATGTGTTACAGGTATAGGAATCAGAAAGAGTTCTGCATAAAATAAAGCTCAAGGCATTGATCTCAGAGGTTTTTGGCAAAAACTTAAAATGTGATCTATTTTGAGTATTCAGAGTTTTTTTTTAGCCTACTTCATGACTGTCACCTTTGCCTTTGGAAAAAGAATTAGTACTCTTTCTGAGCTCCCTGCAATTTGTTTTTTAATCAGAGACAAAATTTCATAAAATGTAAGTGAGGACTCATAAAATTCAAAATGTTACATATAAAAGACCATTGGTCCATTATTACATTTTGTTCATTTCTCACAGGGCAGTGGGCCTCTTTTTTAATTGTACCACAAAATAAGTACACTTAAATCTTCCTACTGGAGATTATTAATCTTTTTGTTTTCACAGCATCTGATACATAGAAGGTATGTAAACAGTATGTAAAAGCTCACTACATCGAACTAACATGTTAGAGGTCATACAGCTCTTGCCAGTCCTTGACCTTTACTGAGACAGTGAGTGTGTGTGTGTGTGTGTGTGAGAGAGAGAGAGACAGAGAGAGAGAGAGAGTGTGTGTGTGTGTGTGTGTGTGTTTTGGGAGGTGAAATGATGGTTGCATTTTAAGCAAATATTGCAGGTGATTCTGGTGTGGGGGTGTGTGTGTGTGTGTGTGTGTGTGTGTGTGTGTGTGTGGTTTGGGAGGTGAAATGATGGTTGCACTTTAAACAAACTTTGCAGGTGATTCTGTTGAAAATGGAAACACTGTCCTCTGTAATTCTGTGGGATGTGGCAGCCAGAAATAAAGATAGAGCTAAGATGCAAAGTAAGAAGGAAAAGTAGAGAACAAGTAAGTTCAAAATGCAGGAAAATATGATAGGGATAAAGAATTCATGAAGGTCACAGAAGTACCTGGGACAATGAGGAAAAGGTATTTATTAACTGGCTGAAGACAAGAAGGGAACAGTCACTGAGAATGTTAACAATGGCACAGAAAAAGAAAAGGTTAATAAAAAGAAACATGTTAAGAGAAGCTTGGGAAATCCATAAAGTCAAAACTGGCTGCATGTAGGGCTACTCTTGAACTCAATGGGCAGACAAAGAATACCAACAGAAAGAACCACATATCTCTTGAAATCAAGAGAGTAAGTGCTGTGGCTGGCAAATAAGGATCCAACGTTGAGGGTAATAGGGCTATGACCTGGGTATGACATTTAAAATAATATCCTGTTAAAATCCTGATTATAGTGTAAACCCAGGCCTTGCTAAGGTAAAGTACTGGGGGTGCACTTGAAATCAGCTGCTTGTCCATGGATTTTACTGTGCCATCTCTGTGCACCGTAAGACTCTTTGCACTGTTTCTAAACTGAGCAAGTATGGAAAAGTATGGACACCCAAAAGCACCATCCAGGCTGTCCAAGTATTGTTCAGTGTAAGTACCTTTAAGCAATCACTCTTCTCTAGCACAACATGTCACATTCTACCCACAGGGAAGACTGTCCCAGTGACCCAGCCTTGCAGAAATACTGCTCTTTCTGAGCTCCCTGTCCCAAGCTCTGTACTTCATACCGTATTCTTTCCATTTCCCTGGCCACTGCTCCTGCTGTACATCTACCATTTCATCATGAATTTTCCCCTATAGCTCAGTGCACCATCAGTTTCTTCCAGTGTTTGACATCATTTCTCCTTCATTCAAGGCTGAGTCTCATAGTAACAATGACCTTGCAAAGCCAGCCCCAGGTACCTTCTGGATGCCACTGCACATAACCCACCTGGCATAATCTTTGAAGGAGAAACATAATGCTCTTCTCCTGCCACCCAGTCTTCTCATCCTGCCCTCTTCCCTGAAAGATAATGGTGAGGAGCTACTTAAATAGGAAAATGACCTGAAAGTCTTCTGTTTGGAACTTACCTTAGGCTCACTTTGCTATACTTTCCTAAGAGTGATTCAGCTGAAACTACAAACCACTCTTAAGATAACTGTGGGTGGTAATCCTAACTTACCAGCATAACTTGGCTGATTAACATTTCCACCTTTTTTTATACAATGATGAACAAGATCAGCATCATCGTTCAGAGCAGCCTTATATACTAAGTTCTCTCCAAAAATGTTTCTCCGGTTAATGCTACCAAGAGATATTTTGTTCACCTTCATTTTTTCTGAAATGAGGGAATGAACAAAAGGAAAAAAATCATTATTTGAATATCAGAAGGAATATGAATTACAAACCACCGATTTCAGACTACAAACTTTACGAACATAGGTAACAGGATTAACTCAGTCAACAGTCTAGAAGTAAAGTATATTATATCATGAGAATATTCATCCATTAACCCAACTATAATATTATCTACATACAAAAAGGAAAAAGAGACAATGTCACTAGTTTTAAAATATTTGAAGTAAACTATAAACTGTGATAAACAGTGTATGTTGATTGAAAACCCATGAAAGGTGCATATATGAAAAGACTAACAGATAATCTTCTTAAAAGTTCTGGTGAAAACGATTATTTAAACCTAGAATAATATATTATCAAATTTAATAAAACGGTATATTACCAGATGTCTTACAAAACCATGAGGAGAAAATCTCAGCGGCATATAAGATACAAAAACTAATCCCAGTGAGACTGGAAAAAGGAATGCAAAATTCTCTTTCTTTGCTAAAAATAAATTAATGAAATTAAGCAGAGAATCATAGCCTGATCTTTGCAATTGTTATTTACTAAGTCAGCAGAAATGCATGATTAAAATACTTTTCCAGATAATGTATATCAAGTATCAGTTCTCCACTGTGCCTCCTAAAATACTGAAGCTCCTCATTTACATGTTCCAAATCCTGTCAATTTGGAGGGCAATACTCATTTGGATTTTCTGAATTTCAGAATAGCTTGATGATAGCTTTTCCAATTTTTATCTAGCTAACCTGCTCCATCCTAAAACCTCACAAAGGTAACTGAGTACTGCAGCAGCCTTCTTAATAGACTACATAAAACTGCCTTGCCTTTTGACTCCCTTGATTCAGTCCCACTGCATAACAAACTAAACTGCTGAACTTTGAGTCTACCTTCTTGTATACCAGACTACAAAGCATTCTTTTCCCACTAGACAAATTGTATGCTTACCATAATCAAAGCAGTCTTTATTTCCAAATCTGTCTGTGCCAGCTATACTTGTTATATTATAATTATGTAATTTTCTGATCTTAGGAGGAAAGCATTTAGTCTTTCACAATCAAGTATAAAACTGTATGATTTCTGTAGACGTCCATTGTCAGGTTGAAGTTTCCCCTCTATTCCTAGTTTGCTGGGAATTTCCACTAGGAACAGATGTGTTAGATGTTGTCAAATGCTTTCTGTGCATTTATTGAGATGATCATATGGTTTCTCTTTTTTAGCTTGTTAATGTAATGAATTACAGCGATTGGTCTTCAAGTGTAAAACCAATCTTGCATTCCTAGGATAAATACCACTTGGTCATGATGTATTATATAATGTTGGATTTGATATGCTCAAGTTTTGTTTAGAATTTTTTTTTCTGAGACAGGGTCTTGCTCTCCATATTCTTCTCCAGGGTATTGCCCAGGGTGGAGTGCAGTGGTGCAATCATGGCTCATTGCAGCCTCAATTTCCCAGGCTCAGGTAATTCTCCCACCTCAGCCTCCTGAGTAGCTGGGACTACAGGCACGCACCACCACGCCCAGCTAATTTTTTGCATTTTTCGTAGAGACAGGGTTTCGCCATGTTGCCTAAGCTGATCTCAAACTTCTGGGCTCAAGTGATCCACCCGCTTCAGCCTCCCAGCATACTGTGACTCTAGGCATCAGCCACCACACCTGGCCTATTTAGAATTTTTGCATCTATATTCATGAAGGATATTTAGTCTAATTTTCTGTTCTTATAATGTCTCTGATTTTGGTATCAGTTTAATGATGACCTCATTAAAATGAGTTGAGAAGAGTTTCTTCATCTTTAATTTTTTGGAAGAATTGTGTGGAGAACTGGTATTATTTCCCCCTTATATATTTTGGAGAATTCACCAGTGAAGGTGTTATAGAATGAATGGTGTCCTCCCAAAACTCAAACTTGAATTCCTAGACCAATAGGAATGGATTGAGGTGCTTATGTGTATGTGTGTGTGTTTGTGTGTGTGTGTGTTTATTTCTCTTTCTGTAAACTGCTTGTTCATGTTCCTTATCTATTCATGTTCTTTTTACTTTTTTCCTCCAGTTTAAAATTTTTAAATTAATTATTATTATCCGACATGTAAAAAGGGATATTTATTTAATGTATACAATTCAATATACTTGGGGACAAGTATATACCCATGAAACCATCACCACCGTTAAGGCCATGACATACACCCCCTGTTCTTTATCCTTACTGTTTCATAAGAGCTTTTTGCATACTAATGCCATTAAACCCTTGTCAAATGATGCTAATATTTCTTAGCTATTTAATATTTGATTCTTCTTTAGGGTATATTTCTATACAATTTTTTAAAATGTATGTAGTTAATTTTATCATTCTTTAAAAGAATTTTTACCATTATTTTAAAGTTATGCAGTTAATTTTATGATTTTAACCTCAGAAACCAAGAGGGTTTAAAAAGACTTTTTCCACACCAAGGTTACAGCAAGATTCACTTACATTTTCTTCTACAACTTTCATTTTTCATTTAAATCTTTGATCAATCTGAAATTAAAGTTAGTGTAAGGAATGTTATGGAAACCCAATTTTGTTTGTGTTTTCTACTACTTATTGCTTAGTCTTTCTTTTCACCACAATTTGAGATGCCATCTATATTACATATCTGTCCCATGTCTCACTGTAGCTGGCTTCTACATCTAAACTCTCTATTCTGTTTCACTGAGTTATCTGTCTATTCCTGCTACAGTGTCAAATGACTTTAATTTCTGTAGCTTTCTAATATGCTCACATATTATGGAGAACAAGGTCCTGCCACTCTTAACTTTTTGTTTTTATTTTTCAGAATTTTCTTGGCTAGTCTTTCATATTTACTTTTCTAGGTGATATTTAGTATTACTTTGAAACTTTCTCATAGCTACTCTCTATCCCTGTAAAAGCAATACACAATAAAAAAAAATTTAGCAAATAAATAAAAATCTGTTTTTGATGAGATCTCATGCATTTCTAGAATAATTTAGGGAGAACCTTCTTACAATGCTGAATCTTTCTAGTCAAGAACAAGGTTCTTCTTTCCATTTATTCAAGTATTTTTTACATCCCTCAGTAGAATTTTTAAACTCTTCTTATAAATATGACACATTTCTTATTAGTTATAAAAGTATTTTCTTTTTGTAACAATTATAAATGAGATAATCTTTTACATTTTCTAACAAGTTCATGGATACATATATGTGAAAGGCATTAATTGTTGACTCCAGCTTATCACATTTTTAAAACTTTTTCTTTTGAAATAATTTCAGACTTACAGAAAAGTTGTAAAAATAGAACAAAAGACTCACCCCTTGTTGACATTTTACCATTGACTTTAAACCATTCTTTTTTACAGATACATATGCATCCAGACACATGTATATATAAAAAGTAACTTTTATACATCATGCCCTTTTACTCAGTAATACTTTAATGTGTATTTCTAAGGACAAAGATGTACACTTATATCACTGCAGTATTATTATCAAATTCAGAAAACTTACCTCTGATACAATATTATTTTTTCATCTACAACCCATATTTCAGTTTTGCCAGTTGTTCCACTATCTATTATTTTTAAAATAGTGTTTCTAGATTCTCTTATTGCTTCTGAGAGTTTTTTAGTTCAATCTTTTGGATGGTATAGGAACACAGAAATAAGATCTAAGAAAATAACAGTTGTGCCTTGTCCTTTCCTTTATTCCTCCTAATACGCTTTTTCATAGCCTTATGCTAGGTTGGTTACACATGTAAATTTAAAAAGAGGTCTGTAACTACTGTTTCCAAAGCAGAATTATAGAAAAAAGTACTAACCTATGAGTCAGAAGTTCAGGATCAATTCTCAATTATGCTACTAATGAGCTGTATGATGCTGGGAAAAACCCTTAACTATCTGAAATTCAGTTTCCTTATCAATAACATTAGAAAGTTGAGAAAGATAATCTCTGAATCCTTTCTACCAAAATTCTGTTTCTGTAAAAGAAATAGAAAAATACTCAAACTATGCATCACCTTTTTTTCCTGGAAATTGTTCATTTTTCCTGATTTGTTTTCCATTCTTGAACCTGCGTGAATGCATATTCTTCTCTTTACTATCAATCATTAAAGCCGGATCCTGCATTCTTGAAAAACAATGTATTTTTAAAATGGCTATAACGGTTTTTACAAACATTCACAGAGAATTATACCAAATTTTGACTATAATATTAAAACTCCAGGGTATTTTACTGAGCTGTTCTCAAGTGGCGTGGCAGTTTTTAAAATGGAGATGGCTCCTGCAGGTAATTCTGCAGCAGGCATGCCAGTCATCATGGCTTCTAGCCCTCTCTTTGCACTACCTGTGGGTTTTTCTTCTTTAGGATTAGTCATTTACAAGTGCGAGTATTCTGAATCTCCTGCTCTTCACTCCCCAAGTTGGCATGTCACTATCCACTCTATTCACCCTCTAGAGAAAAAGATGCAGGCTCTTTGCAAGGAAAAAGCCTCGCTGTGTGGTATGGCACTGACCAAAAGCTGCAAAATAAAAAAAGCAATAATATAAAAAATAAAGCTCTTTACCCTGTGTTAACTGTATACTGACCCTGACCCCAAGCACATAATTATCTATAATGTCTACAGCATTCCTGGAGATAAACACATAATTTCACTGCATACCTGAAATTCTGAGCTGAAGAGTTATTATTTGTTAGGTCCTCACAGCCAAGGATTTTTGGTAAAATCTTTTCTGGCATCTTATACATGTGATCTGAGTACTTTGCATCTCTGCTTACTTTCAGTTTTTCTAGTCTGGATGATCTTCTCAACACACACACAGTTTCCTGGTCAGAGCTATTTGTCACTGAATGTGAATTTCTCTTATTACTTAGTGGTTCACAAGAAGTGATATTTTGATGAGCCAAAGTTTGCAACCCAGATGGATCTGGGTCTTGCAGAGTCTGCAAATACGTAAATACATCCACAAACAATTACAACACTGCAAAAAAACTTAAAACTGTAAGAAGCTAAATTTTGTCTTGACCTTTGATTAAATTAAAATGTCTATTACAGGATGCAAGTACAAGAATTCATAGACATATGTGGACATAATGAAAGATTTTATAATAATTAATGTAATAAAGGACAATGCAGATTTAAAAGCTTAAGAGCATAAGTAAAAAATGATTTTGATCAATATTTATTTTGAAAATTCAAGGGCGAATCTATGGTCACTCTGGGAGCTTTAATCTTGCAAGAAATTGGGAATGTAGAATGATGAGAGATCTACAAAAACATTAGAAATGTCACACTAGGCTAGATCAATGGACTATTCAGCCTAGGGTTTTGTTATCTGACAGCAGCAGTAAGTGATATTTTGTGGAACAAAATAGTATATAACCTCCATTACATTGATTTTAAAAGGTTAACAGTATATCAGGAATTGTTCTCTAACTTTCTCTTAATAATTCATTATAGATTTAACTTCCATGAGCATATGTATTCTTTATATGTATCATCTAAACCTTTCTTCAGCCTACTTACATATCCATCTTGCAAAGCTTCTAAAGGTAACAAGCTCCATATTTTTATTACAGCTGAGTAAACGAGTATATTATTTGATCTGTTCTAAATAAGCCTCCTTTCTACTTAAGAGGGTTTCTTTTTTCTTTCCTTTTGAAGACTTGCTAAATTCATATTCACTGTATTAATATCAATCATAATTTCCTACACTTTACTCATATTCCCTCTTTCCATATTTAATCTTCATGCCCTATCTCCATAATTAGTTTCTCTTTTTCTGGTTTTTAAAAAAATCCTATGTCAGTTTTGAGATTTGTTAACCAGAACTTCATGCAGTATTATTCCAGGTATGTATGCTGCAACCTGAGCTCAGCATTTTGTTATAAATCTTCACAAGGATGTTCACGGAAACATTTTGGTAATTGGAAGATAAAAAGAAAAGAAAGAAAACAATCCAAATGATATCATTAGTGAATTGATTAAATAAATTACAATATATTTACATAGTGGAATACTATTCAACAAATCAAAAGATTTAAGCAGTGCTACGTTTGCTGACATTGAAAGATAAACAAAATATATTATTAAATTTAAAAAATAAGTTGGAAGGCATTATATATAATATAATCCCATTAGTATAAAATGAACTAATATAGAATATGATGGAAATAACTGGAGAGATACACCCAACTGTTAACAGTGATTATCTCTGAAGAGTGAAATTGTGGAGGATATTTGTTACTATATTATTGTGTAATTCCATCAGGTTTAAAATTTGTCTTATAATGAGGATGCATTATTATTATAATCAAGAAAAAAACAATAAAGATTATTTTTAAAAACAAAGAAACTGTCAATATGACAAAGGGACTTTGTGAGTGATAGGCCACTACAGGACTTCCAGGCATAATACTACAAGAATTCTAAACCCCAAGAGCTATGCCACCTGGCAGTATTCTCAGACATAGAAGGCAAAATTCTGCTTAAGCTAGGCATATTTTTTCCCCTCCCCGGCATCCCTGCATATATTCTGTGTCAAAATGTAAATTAATGTGGGGTATCCCATCAGTACTCTGAACCCAGGTAGACATAGTGATTTTCTGAGCTAACAGAAAATTTTAGTAAAGAAATCTTTCCTTCCTACATGTAAGCAATGTAATGATATGTCTTCTCAGGCCTGTTGGGAAGAAATCTGTCTATTCTAACTTCCTAACTCCCAGAAAACTCTACCCTAGGAACTTCTAAAAAGATCACTCTATGCTTCCAAGTCACAAAGTATCTTATGGGTGTTGATATTTGGGTAAATTTGATTTTAACACAATGAAAACTTGTTGAAGTTTAAAAGGCAAAATCATAGACTCATATTTTCAGCTACTTGCTCCACTGAAAGACGCCTGTCCTATAGCTCAGCTAACTTGGAACCATGTTCAAATGGTGGAGTAGAACAAAGAAATTCAAAATTCACCTCTGCTATTTGTGTACAATCTTCATTGGTCTGAGACGTATTGAACTTCACTTCTAAACATTCATTTCTAGCAATGAGACTGCTGCCTCCCTCTTTTCTGTGACAGATGGTTTCCATCTTGGCTTCCGACAATGTGTTCAGGGCTTCCAATAACTCAGCTGGCAATGCATCATCCTTTGCATTTTCTAGTGAATCTCTATGACATGCCGACCAGGCATTCAAAGGTATTGATATGGAACTAAGAGAGTCACTCAATGGGTCCATCAATTCTTTACTATCAAAATCACTTACTAATTCAAACAGTCTTTCCTCCTGGGTGCTTTCTGGTGATGTAAGTAACCTTTCTAAGGCAGACACAAAGGTTTCAAGAGAGCTTTCTTCATCCTTAGTTTCTTCAGGAGTCACGGTCAATATGACTTCCTTTCTAGGCTCATAAAATGTATTTGGTGCTGCTAAGATCTTCTCTGGCTCTATTAATGATGTCTCCTTTACAGCAACCATATCAGATACTGTAATAGCAGTGCCTGAGAGAAGGCTAACTTCAGGAGAATCTCTGCCGTCACTTAGTTCCTGGGTATTACAAATAGAAATTACATCATTACAGCATATACAATAAAGTATTTAAAATGAAAACTTTATAGTTTTATAGTTTATCTTGTTTGTAAGCTACCCTCAAAATTTATCATCAACTTTCCTTCTCTTCCACAAATAAAAAGAATACTCTTTATTGCTTTCCTATACCAAATCACTAATTACTGAAAACATGGTTAAACGCTTAATAATAGACCAAGAGCATAATTGGCTGGACCATAATTACAGATGGCAAATTATTCATTTAAGTTTAAATTATCTGTGCTAACAGAAGAAGCAGAGATGGCATGGATAGTTAAATTAACAGATGATCTCAAAGCTTCATAGCAATTAATGGTTATAAAATTCTTTCTTGCCAAAATTTCCTATTTGGTTTATGAAAATTATTAACTAGGAACAAAATTTCACCTTCTTTTTATTGCCCCACCTTTGCAGGAATAAGTAAATGTAGAGTAAAGAGGCCAAAGAACAAAAGGTCAGAGGGAAAAGGTAAAGAAATGAGGGTACAGTTCTGTATAAATATTACAAGCCCTAGCTGTAAATGAATGGCTCTGAGTTGTGGTTATTTTAAGCAAAAAACCCCACAAAAACTTAACATTTCTAAATGACTATTATTTCTCTAAGACATCACCTTAATAGGTTATACCTGTTCTCACAATGTTTCTTTTTTTCTTTTTTCTTTTTTTTTGAGATGGAGTCTCACTCTGTCACCTAGGCTGGAGTATAGTGGGGCCATCTCGGCTCACTGCAACCTCCGCCTCCAGGGTTCAAGTGATTCTCCTGCCTCAGCCTCTTGAGTAGTTGGGATTACAGGGGCCTGCCACCATGCCCTGCTAATTTTTTGTACTTTTAGGAGAGATGGCGTTTCACCATGTTGGTCCAGCTGGTCTCAATCTCCTGACCTCAGGCGATCTGCCCGCTTTGGCCCCCCAAAGTACAGGGATTACAGGCATAAGTCACTGTGCCCAGCCTCACAAAGTTTCTAATACTCAAAATACTGTTAGAATCCCTCTTTTGAAATTGCTTTCAGAATGAGTTTATAAGCCATTCAAGAAAATAAGGTGCTTTAAAGGCACTGAAAATTTTTCGAACACTAAATAATTTTTATTGGCCTTAAATAACAGAATGGGTTTCAACAACTTTAGTTTTTTTCCAAAAATCAAATCCACCATACCTTTGACAGGATGTGCGGTAATTTGTAAGCCTTCTAATATTCTAATCTGGTATGATTGAGAAAAGCAAAACCACTTTATTCTTCCTCCTGTCCTTTTCTACCTGCCACCTTTATGTACTCAGTATATATTAATAGCATACAACACTTAAGAAAACATATTTATTTGTCAGCAATGCTAACTATAATTTTCTCAGAAAGATAAAAGGAATATGCAAGAAATTCAAGAACCAGATCCTACTCACTCTCTAAGTCTCAGTTCAAGGCCTCCAAACTATTTGAAGTCCTTATGTCTACTAAATTCAAGGCACCAGGTATAATAAAGTATATACATTGGGCTCTGTCCTAAAGCAATTTATTTCCAACTTAAGATTCAAGACATAAAAAAAAAAAAAAGATTCAAGACATAAATACCTAAGACATTAAATAGAATACATATAATGTCATAGAACACTTATGAAATCAAATGAATGGCATAAACTAGTGTATATCAAGCAGTTCCATTTATAACCACAGAACCAGCCCAAACTGCCCCTACTTTGTTGGTAACAGAATGTCAAGTCATCTTGCAGGTATAACAGGGCCAAAAGTGCAAGTCATGTAGCGCAGCCAGAACCTTGAACAAAGAAGACTGAGAAATGACTGGAACCTGACCACTGGTACTCTTTCTGAAGCAAGAGGTCTGCTGGACACAAGATTTGGTGCTAAAATCCACCTAAATATACCTTACCGTAAATGGTCAAATTTGAAGCCTTCTAATCAGACTCTGTCAAACCAACATTCCTAAGTCCTTTCCCTTACGTTCTGCCCCTTAAAACCTGTTCCAGACCCCAAATAGACGACACAAATTTGAACTGCCTCTCCTGTCTCCTTGCTGGCCTGTCTCACAATAAAGCCTTTTTTTTTTTTTTCCTCAAAAGCCAGTGCCACAGCATTGGCTTCTACGCACATCAGGCAGCAGGCCCATTTGCTTGATAACATACAAAGCCTAATGTCTTACAAAAATGAGTTTTCTGGGGAAGAAAAAAATGGAGGCAGTAGAGAACAACAGGACTTTCCAAACCATGTGCATTGGGGGAACTTTAGGACACAGTGTTCTCCAAACATTTTTGTCCAAAAAATCCTTTTCCTCAGAAGATCTATTAATATCATAGAGTACAAGTGATTTGGAAATAATGATATAGTCAGTAAATAATGAATGGTAGAGAGGGAGCAGTTACTTTGGTCAAGATTGCCAGAACTATCTGAAATAGATCCACAGAAGAACAGGTACTTATGCTAGAAATTAAAGATTTGTGAAGGAGTGAAAGAATGGAGGAACACACATTTACTGAGCACCAACTAGGTGCCAGACACCATGAACCATCATTGCTCGGTCCTCACAATACCTGTAAAACAGCTATCGCTGTCCCTATCTTACAGATATAAACAGTTATCCTTGGAACCTAGACCTATCTGGTTTCCAAATTTTATGTTATTTCCCATCTTCTGGCTCCTGATTCAAGCAAAACCATGAAGGCAGGAATGTGTAAGGTATGGCTGAGATAAAGTAAGCTACAGGGACAACCCTGGGTGAGATGCCAAGACCCAGTCTCTACAAAAAAATTTAAAGAAAAAAATTAGCTGGGTGTGGCAGTATGGGCCTGTAGTCCCCGCTACTTGGGAGGCTGAGGTGAGAGGATCTCTTGAGCCCAAGAGTCCAAGGTGGCAGTGAGTTATGATCGATGGCACAACTGTACTCCAGCCTGGGCAACAAAGTGAGACTTTATCTCCAAAAAAAAAAAAAAAAAAAAAAAGGTAGGTATGGGTATACTGGGCTAGCTTGATTGCCCAGCATCCCTAAGGAAAGTGTGAGTTCATTTGTGAGCACAGCCAATCCTACAGTCCTCTGATTCTCCATAGCACCAAGTACAAAGCAAATCCAAAGCAGGAAGGAACTTTGTTACATTATCTCAGAAACTAGTTTGATAATAAGTTATGTATTTCTACTCTAGTTAAAAAGTAAGAGACTTACAGTAGTGGATAAGAAACACAGATCAAGAAAACACTTTTATCAGCAATAAGGAAGAATAAATATGAAAGAGGTGATTAGACAAAAATAGATTTCTATTTACCGAAATGGTTTAGTCATATTCCTGCCTAGGGGAGGGTCTAAATGAGCTTGATACTTTAATTGACACATTTTAAAAAAAATCTAAATCCACAATCTACATAGTTAATTTCTGTTATACAGACCAACCTTTTCTATGTGTGGCAAAACTTCAGGAGTTTCATCAGCCTCAGGCCCTAGAAAAGAACAATGAGTTTTCACTCCAGTTTTACGAAAGCACTAAAAACATACCTTCTCAGTTGGCATTTCATAATCATATAACTTAAACTCTCAGTCAAGTGACACATCTTATATTTTATTAATATTACATAAATTTATTGGTATGAAAGTATTATTTTGGAAATGAAGTTATAAAATTCTTCCATTTCTTAAAAAATATTTTATATAGCTCCAAAAAAAATTGTAACTATTTGGAATTATTTTAGCTAAAAACCAAGAACCCTATTTTGGCTGAATTATTCTAAGTACAGCATTTGTAACTACATAAAGAAAAGACTATCTACTTTCTCGATGTCATTATCTCTTCCACTACAGGTACTTAAAGCTTAAATGAACTCATGCTGCCTGGAGTTAGGCATGAAAAGAAATGCCCCTATAGGAGTCAAAAGGACAGGAGGTCATCCTAGACACTATGGAAGATTGTTGCATTGCCTCTGCGACTGCAAATTCACTATCCACTCTCACCCTGTCCCCTCTGAGCCAAGCTGGCAAACAGCAATTCACACCCAAGTTAGGTTAAAGGAGGATCTGGAAAAAAGATAGTTCTCCTATGTTGTTCCTTTTACATTTTTCTTTCTTTTCTTCCTTCCTCCCTCTCTCCCTCCCTCCCCCCCACCTGACCTCAAGTGATCCACTTGCCTTGGTCTCCCAAAGTGCTGGGATTACAGGTGTGAACCACCGCACCCAGTCCATTCTACTTTCATCATCAAGACCCAAGTATTCTAGCCAGGTGCGAGGTCAGGAGTTTGAGACCAGCCTGGCCAACAAGGTGAAATCCCGTCTCTACTAAAAATACAAAAATTAGCCAGCATGGTGGCACGCGCCTGTAATCCCAGCTACTTAGGAGGCTGAGGCATGAGAATTGCTTGAACCTGGGAGGCAGAGGTTGCAGTGAACCGAGACTGTGCCACTGCACTCCAGCCTGGGCAATAGAGCAAGACTTCGCCTCAAAAAAAAAAAAAAAGAAAAGAAAAGAAGAGAAAAGAAAAGAAAAAAAGACTGAAATATTCTGACACACTTGAGTAGGAATTCAATTTTGGTTTATTTTGATTAGGTAATGTCTACATAGCTAAAGTAAAAGCAAGTTATTATCTACTGAACCTCAAAATGCATCCTCATAAGCAAGAGGGGTTTTTCAGGGGGAAAAATAAGCATAAATATTCTTGCTGAGCTTCATATCCTAAAAGATAATAGTAATAAACCCATTTTTTTCCCTCACTTCACCTTTGCAATTTGATGATAAAAAGCTATAGCATGATAAGCAAAATGTCATAAGAATAAGTAATTTCTTATGCTTGGTTTAGAATTATTCCTGTCAACAAGTGATGACATATTTCATTGTGTATATCCTACTTAACATTTTGTATCTCTACTTGCTTAAAATTTTAATACCAATGAAAGAAACATTTTAAAATAATAGATACATCTTCAACTATCTTTGCAAGGAGAGGTTTTTTTAAATAAAATTTCAGATCCTTGGGGGATTAGAATTCAAAAACAGAAAAAGAGAATTCACTTTTCTTCCTTCTCTGAATCATAAAGAAACAACTCTCATAGACATTTTCTCCCATGTTGTCTTTAACAACTTCATCTTCAAAACTATAAAGCAAAAAAAAAAAAAAAAAAAAAAACAATCGAAGGCTCCCAATCATCTGAATGGACCCCTCTTGGCCATGGGCATTACAAAGCTGGTTCAGGCCTTGAAGGGAAGAAAGGGTCACACGTGCCTCATTACACCCTCCTCCCTTTTGAATTCAGGAAAAGCCAACCAGCGTTAACATCAACACCGACCTTAAGTCTGTTAAAAAACATTTATAATCTGCTCTGTCTGAACCCTGCTACTTGTAAGCTTCATCTGCATGATAAAACTTTGGTCTCCACAACCCCTTATCATCATAACACAGAGATTCAATTCTACTGATTCCAGGTCTTTAGATAATAACTCTTTCAACCAATTGCCAATCAGAACACCTTTGAATCCACCTATAAACTGGAAGTCCCTGCCCCCACCTTGCTTCTGGTTTGTCCCACCTTTCCAAACCAAACCAATGTACTTAATCTTACACATACTGATTGATGTCTCACATCTCCCTAAAATGTATAAAACTAGGCTGTGCCCTGACCACCTTGGGCGCATGTTCTCAGAGTCTCCTGACGGCTGTGTCACAGGCCATGGTCACTCATATTTGGCTCAGAATAAATCTCTTCAAATATTTTACAGAGTTTGACTCTTTTCGTTGACAAAATGATCATTCTTTTATGCCAACAGTTACTATTTTATAAACTTAATTAATAAAATATTTTACAGTAATTTGATTACTATATTAAAAATAAACACATTTAGAAGGAATTATCTTTTCTAACTACAAATTTTACTTAAGAGTTTTTACAAATACATAATTCTTGAATTTTTGTCTATCCTTTAATAAACCATAAAAAGATTTTCTTTCTTTTATTATTAGTCTAGGGTACATGTGCACAATATGTAGGTTTGTTACATATGTATACATGTGCCATGTTGGTGGGCTGCACCCATTAACTCATCATTTACATCAGATATATCTCCTAATGCTATGCCTCACCCTCCCCCCTCTCCACAATAGGCCCTGGTGTGTGATGTTCCCCTTCCTGTGTCCAAGTGATCTCATTGTTCAATTCCCACCTATGAGTGAGAACATGTGGTGTTTGGTTTTCTGTTCTTGTGATAGTTTGCTGAGAATGATGGTTTCCAGCTGCATCCATGTCCCTACAAAGGACATGAACTCATCCTTTTTCATGGCTGCATAGTATTCCATGGTGTATATGTGCCACATTTTCTTAATCCAGTCTGTCACCAATGGACATCTGGGTTGATTCCAAGTCTTTGCTATTGTGAATAGTGCCACAATAAACATACATGTGCATGTGTCTTTATAGCAGCATGATTTATAATCCTTTGGGTATATACCCAGTAATGGGATGGCTGGGTCAAATGGTATTTCTAGTTCTAGATCCTTGAGGAATTGCCACACTGTTTTCCACAATGGTTGAACTAGTTTACAGACCCACCAACAGTGTAAAAGTGTTCCTATTTCTCCACATCCTCCCCAACACCTGTTGTTTCCTGACTTTTTAATGATTGCCATTCTAACTGGTGTGAGATGGTATCTCATTGTGGTTTTGATGTGCATTTCTCTGATGGCCAGTGATGATGAGCATTTTTTTATGTGTCTGTAGGCTGTATAAATGTCTTCTTTTGAGAAGTGTCTGTTCATATCCTTTGCCCACTTTTTGATGGGGTTGTTTGTTTTTTTCTTGTAAATTTGATTGAGTTCTTTGTAGGTTCTGGATATTAGCCCTTTATCAGATGAGTAGATTGCAAAAATTTTCTCCCATTATGTAGGTTGCCTGTTCACTCTGATGGTAGCTCCTTTTGCTGTGCAGAAGCTCTTTACTTTAACTAGATCCCATTTGTCAATTTTGGCTTTTGCTGCCATTGCTTTTGGTGTTTTAGACATGAAGTCCTTGCCCATGCCTATGTCCTGAATGGTATTACCTAGGTTTTCTTCTAGGGTTTTTATGGTTTTAGGTCTAACATTTAAGTCTCTAATCCATCTTGAATTAATTTTTGTATAAGGAGTAAGGAAAGGATCCAGTTTCAGCTTTCTACTTATGGCTAGCCAATTTTCCCAGCACCATTTATTAAATAGGGAATCTTTTCCCCACTTCTTGTTTTTGTCGGGTTTGTCAAAGATCAGATGGCCATAGATGTGTGGTATTATTTCTGAGGGCTCTGTTCTGTTCCATTGGTCTATATCTCTGTTTTTGTACCAGTACCATGCTGTTTTGGTTACTGTAGCCTTGTCGTATAGTTTGAAGTCAGGTAGCTTGATGCCTCCAGCTTTGTTCTTTTTGCTTAGGATTGTCTTGGCAATGTGGGCTCTTTTTTGGCTCCGTATGAACTTTAAAGCAGTTTTTTACAATTCTATGAAGAAAGTCATTGGTAGCTTAATGGGGATGGCACTGAATCTATAAATTACCTTGGGCAGTATGGCCACTTTCATGATACTGATTCTTCCTATCCAAGAGCATGGTATGTTCTTCCATTTGTTTGTGTCCTCTTTTATTTCGTTGAGCAGTGGTTTGTAGTTCTCCTTGAAGAGGTCCTTCTCATCCCTTGTAAGTTGGATTCCTAGGTATTTTATTCTATTTGAAGCAATTGTGAATGAGAGTTCATTCATAGATTTGTCACTCTGTTTGTCTGTTATTGGTGTATAAGAATGCTTGTGATTTTTGCACATTGATTTTGTATCCTGAGACTTTGCTGAAGTTGCTTATCAGCTTAAGGAGATTTTGGGCTGAGACAATGGGATTTTCTAAATATACAATCATGTCATCTGAAAACAGGGACAATTGGACTTCTTCTTTTCCTAACTGAATACCCTTGATTTCTTTCTCTTGCCTGACTGCCCTGGCCAGAACTTCCAACACTATGTTGAATAGGAGCGGTGAGAGAGGGCATCCCTGTCTTGTGCCAGTTTTCAAAGGGAATGCTTCCAGTTTTTGCCCATTCAGTATGATATTGGCTGCAGATCTGTCATAAATAGCTCTTATTATTTTGAGATACATTCATTCAATACCAAATTTATTGAGAGTGTTTAGCAAGAAGGGCTGTTGAATTTCGTCAAAGGCCTTTTCTGATTCTATTGAGATAATCATGTGGTTTGTTTATATGATGGTTCTGTTTATATGATGGATTACATTTATTGATTTGCATATGTTGAACCAGCCTTGTATCCCAGGGATGAAGCCCACTTGATCATGGTGGATAAGCTTTGTGATGTGCTGCTGGATTCGGTTTGCCAGTATTTTATTGAGGATTTTTGCATTGATGTTCATCAGGGATATTGGTCTAAAATTCTCTTTTTTTGTTGTGTCTCTGCCAGGCTTTGGTATCAGGATGATGTTGGCCTCAAAA